AACATGGGCTCAATCTGATTTTAACAGAAAGCAAGCTCATAGAGAGATGAAAAGTAAGAGAAAAAAGGCAGCAGCAGGCATGGGTAGAGAAAAATAAAGGTAACGACTCAACATAAACACGGTAAGGACAGAGACAAGGGTAAAATTGCAGAAAGGTGCGGCTATGGCTAAGGTAGAAGAAGTATATGTTGATTATTAAGGAAAGGAGAAACGAGGATTTACATCAAGGTGAAGACCCATGATGGGTTAGGAATGAGGAACGCCAACGACTCTCAATTTGTCAGAGGATCTCAAGGATTAGCAACGACTCTCAAGGAGACCACAAACACAGGTCACAAGAAAACCTAGGCTCTTATACCATGTCAAACAAAGTAGGGCAAATATTCAGTTATGCTAAGATACACTCATATTGACTCATATTCACACATATTATTATTATTCTTCAATATGGAGGTATTTATAGAGAAGTACAACCCTAAATAAAATAGGAAATAAATCCAAATTACAATAGAAAATAAATATAAATTACAATATGAAATAAATCTCAATTATAATAGGACTAGATAAATGGTAAGTAACTAAAATCCTAACATAGTAAGGAACCAAAATCCTAATTAAGTAAGGACTCGCCAACACTATCCAATCCTGTTAATTAATGACTTTTCGACCTACTTCCCCATCAAGTATAAAATAATCAAAATGAAAATAATGACAAATGGATATGAAGGGTCACATGTACTTGTCATCATACGATACAAAGCAGCACATTAATTCCTTAAACTATCTTAGGGTAATTAATTTGGATCATGCATTAATCTCCAGAAAAGACCAATATCTTGTCACCACCTATGCACCTCCGTGACCTTTACAGCCCACAGTAATGTAATACGCCAACTCTCTGTCACGAGTTCTAACAGTGTAATCCGAATGGGCTGCTGGTTTTGAGCTTAATTATATATGCACATTTTTTATTTTCATTCTTTTTCCATATAAAACTATTAATTTTTCATGATCAACTCAGCCATTCATGTATGGTGCGTATTATTAGACTCATCAACACATTTAATGGATGACTAAGATTAGAAGTTGTTAACCAATATTTCTTAAATGAAAGTCTGAAATGATGTATGCAGTATGACAACTCCGTGCTTCTTTTTTTGGTCAAGCGGATACAACTCCATGCTAATACTCTCTTTCATATGACGTATTATATTAATAGACATATGCTTATCTTTTCAAGTTGTGAATTTGAATCACACATTTATATAATCAACGTAATTAATCAATGGTCCAGAGTCATCTTAATTATGTTGTCTAACCTAACAAGTTCTAACATAGGAAATTTAATTAAGTGGAGACCAAAAATGACCAAACCAAGCACACCACAAAATAGTAACAAGTGGCTATGGGCAAGAGTAAGACAACTCACCAGCCCCATGTGTTTGGTTTGCTATATAAGGCCAAACCCACAACCCATCTTCAACACACTTCACTACACAGCAGTGACATATATCATAGAGAGTGAGAGAGATATTTTTAGACATGGAAGCATACAAGAAGCTTGTTGTGATTGTGGCATTAGTGCTTTTGGCACTAGCCATTGAATCTGAGGCCTTGGTGGTGAACAATGAGCAGAGTTTTTGCCGCATGACAAAAGAGGGTTTGAATGCATGTGCCCCAGCAGTGAGTGGGCAAAACCCTCTGCCTCCCTCAGCTCTTTGTTGCTCAGCTCTTAAAACGGCTGACTTCCAATGCCTTTGCCTTTTCAAGAAGTACTCAAACCTTCTGTCTGCCTATGGCATCGACCCAAACCTTGCCATGCAACTTCCTGCCAAATGCAACCTTGGCCAGCCCATCCGTTGCTAGTAATTTGTTAACGCATATGATCATCAAGTGCTGCGTAAGAGATAGATCTGTATTTGTTTTTCTGCAGCTTAATTTATTTTGTTTTTGTTTGTTGTGGTAACTTTTTACTTAAGTTTTTTGGTTCATTGTTGTTTGTTTTCTCAAGCTTATTTTAACTTGTTTGCTTCTGTTTGCAAGGGTGTGTTTTGATTTTCAATGATGTAATGTTGATTGTCCTATTGTAAAGCTCTATTTGGATGTTTATGTATTGTTTAAATTATGAACTTCTTAGCCTCAACATATAGCATTATCATTTCGTAATACATATCACATGATGAATACCGATCATGCAGGGGTTTTTTGTAAAAAATAAACGACGGTCGTGTTTTTATTTTATTATTTATATATTTGAACAATCAGTTATTCTCTTATGCGGACGTGCGGACATCATTGTAAACATGAAGAAAAGCATGGAGGGGTAGTAAAAAATAAATGACGTCCACACAGTAATAACGTCCAGACATCCACATAAGAGAAAATTTGTCCAAACAATAGTCTAAATTACTTTAAACTATTTTAGTTTACGAAAAAATGATTGCAAACTTCAGTGTAAGAAAATAAATACTAAACCATCAAATTAGTATCAAAACTCCAACTCTGGACTTTAAACATGAAACCTTCTTTAATGAAAGAGGGATTAATTTTAAAAAAAAATTGTACGATGTTTTTTTGCCTATTAGGTTTCTTGTTGAGAATTTGAAACCTTGATAATTTATCAAGAACTTGGAGAATGACAAACCAAAAAAAAAAAGTTACAATTTTTTTTCAATGAGACTGTTAAAAATAGCTTCGTATTGATTTGATTTGTGCTCCCATGGTAAAGAACATTTGCCTGACATATACCTCCCCTCTCCTCTATGGCTTTTCTTTGTAGTATAAAATAAAATGAAATTAAAAACAAATATATGAGCCAAAACAAAATTGTCAAGAGTGGTAGGCCTTCTCTTCATATGCGTCATAAATTTGACCCAAACTGGCCACTATCAGGCCAAGTTTTTCCATTTCAACCTCGGGTGCAGTAGATGGGTTATTAGCATCCAGTCCACGTCTACATACATATCTTTCGCTAAGAGGCCCCCACGTATTACCATGAGAGAGTTATATACACCCGTGTGTGTACTTTCTGTATTCTTATAACACTCATCTTGCAATCTGAGTGCTACAGGAACACAGGAATATACACATCGGGTTTCTTCCATATATAATTTTGCAGACTTCATATACCCAAAAACTAATTGGCAATGGGGGAGTAGCCCAACTCCTTATAAACTCTTGATAGGTTTCTCAATTTTCCAATGTAGAATTTTTTACCTTTACATTCTCTACTTTTTACCTTCACATTCTCACACATATCAAATAAATAAACGAGCCTCTCGTGGTATACGACCCAACACATTATAAGCTCATGGCTTGAAACCCATGAGTGCAATAGGAAATTGTAATTTTAAACGTCTTCTAATATTGGGAAGAAAACTAAAATACGAGCTACTTGGATTGTGGACACAATTCGGTCATAGAGCTCCTAGAATAACGCGCAAGGGACTTGTAGAGTAGTTAAGAGTCTTAAGACCATTTATCCAAGCATCCAAAATCTCGAGGTTAGATTCTATTCCCCTTTCTCCAATCCAATATCACTTCTATAAAATAATAATAATAATAAAAGAGGTCATGGAATTGTATTGGGCTCTCATTTGGTTAGGCCATCTCACTCACACTTGGTTAAGGCCGGTTGTAAATGTGAGCCCACGTCTGAACTTTCAATTTTTCAGAATAATTAGGCGCAAAATGAAATATAAAAAAGTCGAAGGACGAAATAGTAACAAAAGGGATTAGGGTTTTCTTCTCATGAGTATAAATACATGGAGCAGCCAAGAAAAACAGAAGATCAAAAACCCAACAAAACCCTGAGCTCCAAACTCTGCCCGTCTGAGAAGAAGACGTTTTTATGCAGATTTTCATTGCGTTTTTGTGTTATTGAATTTGTACGGCTGTGTGTGTGTGTGTTATTTTGAATGGTGGGAAAAAGGGGAGGAGGTGCCTTCATTAATCCCAGATAAGCTGAGAATTGGTGCTTATCTGATTCATAGGAGGCCAAAATCAACTCTGGAGGTTTCGCTGATAAATGCCTGTTTTTTTTTATCATCGCAAGGCGTTTACTAGTAACTTTCCATACATATAAATCAGGCTTCTTTTTCTTTTACGAGTTTTTTTTTTAAATGCTGGTCTGGTAAGAGTTGTCAAAATTTTACAGAAAACGTTTATTTTCAGCATTGCTTTTAAGCATTGCCCCATGGGTTGGTTGTGTTTCTGAGGATATGATATTAAGAATTGAAAGTCGATTTTAGAATTGGTTTTGTGGGGATTTAGATTCACTACTAGGTCATAGAGCTACCCTTTTTTTTTTGTGGGTTAATCAAACAATGGAATGGATATTCCAGTTCAATTGACCAACACGTAAGATGTGATGTGATGTGAGAAGAGAAAATGTTTCAATTATAATTATATAATTTTCATATATAAAAAAAGTAGCTCATTAGCATTATTTTGAATGCTGCAAAATGCTAGTTCGTTCCCATAAAATTGGAGGTTCATTTTCAATTGCAATAGTCCATGAATTTGTACCCGAGTGTCATTTGATCCTGTATGAATTGAAATTTTAGGTCGTTTGATCCTATATTAATTGAAGTTGAAGGTTATATTGACGGAAGGATTAATTGAAGTTGAAGGTTATATTGACGGAAGGACCAAATTGCCGCGTATCGCAATTGAAGCATGACAAAATTTAAACCAAAATGAATGTGAATTATTGCAGTTAAAAACCCTAAAGCTGAAATATAGGGGGGTATAGCATACAAAGAAAGGGAAAACTTAAGCAAAAACTAATCCAGTTGCAAATTACGAGTTACTGGAGCTTCATTTTTCCTCGTAAGGGGCAGAATCGACATTTGCTGACCACGTTTTATATGCACTGCAAATCTCCAATTAAGATTGCAGTTAAGCAATCTGTACGCGATTTTCCTACTGCTTAGAGATTTTAAAAAGGGCATATTTTTCAGTAAATCGCTTGATCCATCTAAAGTCACATTTGTACCATCTAAAATAACACAATCATAAAATAGAATTTTCAGATATTAACCATCTTTCAGAACACTCCTACAGCCTCCATAAATCAACCAGTTTTCTCATTTCTCTCTGATGGGCATTTTTGGCACGAGAGTAACTTTTAAATGTATAAACGCCCATGGCGGCCTAGGAGATATGGTGTCTATTAACTGGATGAATTAAAAGGATTGGCATAATTAGCAGTTCCTCAACGACATAATTTGTCCTATAATATAGAAAAGTCTGCGTAATGCTATTGCCTATCAAAATCTCCATTCCCAAGCTCTTGGTCCCCGCGGTACATCTTCCCTGACAAATTGTTCTAAAGCTACTTGCTGTATAAGTGGACAACCGTGAAGACGAAGAAGCCTGCCATCTGCATCACAAACAAAAATATTTTTTTATCAGAATATTGCCAAGTAATTTTCAGTAAAGCTAAGATCATACTCATTGAATTATGACACCAAAAGGTGGGAATCTTGGGCTTCTTTCCTATGTCATGGAACATACACTAATGACTGGGCCAAGAAAGCTGAGATCGCCTTCAGACCATTAAAAGAGAGTTGGGAAACAGTAAAAGAGAGAGTTGGGCAGAAGTTACACAGGAAAAATGTTAAATAACAAAAAACATGGAGTGCCGTTTGAATGGCAAAGGAGCCTACAAACTGGGATCCCATCTAAGCAGCTCGTTATATACATGTATAATATATTAATGACCAATTACAGAGAGCAAAAAAGAGTTACCATAGAAAATGCTGCTCCATAATAGGGATAAGCTGCTGGTATAAATCTTTCATATTCATTGTGTCTAAATGGCCGAACAGGAATCTGCAATTCAATATCCATGGTTTTCCTTCAGGTGGTGGATAAAGGAACAGTACAAGAAAACAAAAAAGCCCGACGTACACACACAAAGCATGATACAAAATAAAAGGTAGCACAATTAGTCAGAGTCAAAAGTTTTGGGCACAGGATTATAATGCTTTATGTGCTACACAAAATGTCTTAACTCAGCCATCTTCCATACTAAATATAAAACATAGGTGGGTGGCTCGTTGTTGTATGTTAGACTATACAATCATTATTTTCTTTCTTTTTTATCACCATTCAAATTAATGCAAGAAGGTTCGACCTTGATAAATAGACTGCTGTATTTCTGTTTAAGGGTAAACACAGATAAACCTTTTTTAATAGCAACATCTTCTCTTAACAAGTTATAGATACATCTCCACCATGAATAGGTACATTTCTTACCTGCTTTGATAGGGATAAACTTGTGTAGCCAAGCCTCTGGTACTCAACCTTGAACTGGAACACCCCGTAAACATCTGGAACTTTAAACGCTGTAAAATAACTGCCCTGCAATACAAAAAATAAAACAAAAATCAGTAAGGGTATCAACAGAAAATCTACAGGATATACAGAAAGTCTGGAGGGAATAACGTGCATTACCTTCTGATCAGTCGATAAGGTTTTCAGAACATAGGGACTCATCATATAAAACTGCACTTGAACATCATCAGCAACATATGGCTCCCAACTTTTTCCATGCCATTCATAAATCTCCACCGAATATTCCTTCAATTGTGATTTCAGTGTCAGGTGCCAAGAACTTTAGTTTTTTGCTCTTTTTTGGGAGTCCTTATTAACAACACAAATAAATAAAAATTACCAAGTCATCGTTGATCCTGTAAATTGCAGGTTCATCTGCTTCCCCAACTTTGTGGTGTCTTACATTCACAGCCTACAGAACAAAATGGTTTAATAAGGTGAGCATTTAAGAAACCTGGCAATACCTAAAATGAAACTATTAGATGAGTTAACCCGGCCACCATCTCTTATTTCTCTTTTTTTTTTCTTTTCCCTTTTTTTACTTTTGTGCAAGCCTAATTAATAAACATTATAATATCAGGACGACAAGATAATAACTTTTGCCTCACCTTGAGATGACCTCTTTCATGGAAAACCCATTTGCTAAGTTCAGTCAGAAACTGCTCATTAGCTGATTTCTCATGTCTGTTATCACAAAATAGGTTTCTCATTAATTTCTTCTTCAAACAGGAAAGTCTTCTATGGTATTAAGAGGTATGCACAGTAAACGCACCCAAAAATGCATATTTTATTCATCAGTCATTTTGTGCAGCTACATTAGGAAAAAACATATCTTATAAACTGCTTGTGAGCCCTTATTTCTCTAGCATCCATATTTCTATTGATGTCTAAATGTCTAGCCTAATCTCTGCATGAATCATAGCTCATCAATAAGTTGTAAAGGCCATCCCTACTTCAAAATAGGCGCCACAGCCTACAAGCTTTTATTAGTTTATAACCAATCAACAATTGAATTTTCACCATACCCAATATACCAGTTAACTTGGGATCTTCTTTTCAAAGATGTGTGACTACCAACTAAACTACATCATGACCATTTCAACATATCAGATATATAGCTATTAGTTAACTGACAACAGGCAAGCTGTAACTCCATTCTCCACTAAAAGGTTCTTTTTCCTCTTTGATTATATAAGTTAATACATTATGTGGCAGTTAGAACAGGAAATGTCCTAATATCAATTGAAACATGTATGGAAAAGAAATTAAATTAGAATTCATAGGATCACTCACTTCTTTGGGCTCCCAGCCTTCTGAACCTTAGATCTGAAAAACCTGAAAAGAGAACCAAACCTTGTCAGAGGAAACAATCAAAAAATTAGAGAACTTCATTTGACAGGAAATCATCACATACCTATCGCTAAACAAACTTAATGAACCAGAGATCAAAACCCGAGCATTGTTTCTTGCCTACAAAATAGACAAGAAAAACACATGAAAACTGTTACAGAATATATATATATATATGTATATATATATATATATACACACATCATTTACAGATCTCTCCACTCAAAGAACTCACTGATTTAGTACTGTTTATGAATGTAAACATTTAGAACCAGACAATAAGGAGCTAAATCCTGATACTGAAGACCAAACATCCATTTCCAATAGCTAGGGCAGGATTTAGAGAAAAGTCACTGGCCTCATAGGCAAAAGGGGAAGCAGAACATAATACTAAGTGGAAATGAGCAAAAGTAGGATGCTCTATAATAGTTTTCTGGAGTAATTATGTTATAGCAATTAGTCCTATGTTTCCCTCCAGGAAAAAAAATAGAGACAGAAAGAAAGAGAGAGGTAAAAAAAAATTAACACTATCTTCAAGAAAACATTATGAAACAAATAGTAAGTTGTAAATAATTAACAATATCTTCAATATCATTTACATATCACAGAGAACCATGAGTTTGAATTTTCTAAACAAAGCATAGACAAACACATAAACAAAGGAAAGCATCTATGTATCACAAAAATAATATACACAGTAATGCAGTAAAAGAGGAGAGGAAAACAGGCAGTGAAGAGTTAACACACCTGCACAACTGAAACTAAAGATATAGCAGATCCAGTGAGAGAAGGAGGATTTGACAGCTTGCTTTTGGGGTTAGCAGAATATGCTGAAGGTGAAGCTGAGAGAACTTTCAAAACCTAAAATGATGCACATATTTACATGAAAAAGTGAGGGTTAAATTTTTTTAAAATAAAAACCGAAAAACAATAACAGTTGAATAACTTTAATTAGCACAAAGGTTCATTCTCTTGTTTTGCAATGCACTGAAGATGGAAAATTGAAAAATCTTACCAGGCTATTTTCAGAATTCACCGTATGGCCAATCCCCTGGAAAAGTACAGGAGCCTATGGCAGAAGCACCAACATAAACAATATCAGGGACAAAGACAATAATTACCACTACCATTTACTAATAGTGTGCATTGAATTGTCTCTGAGTGCAAATTCTCAAAACACTTTGCTTAAGCTATTATTGGATAGGACAAAAATGATGAATGGCTAGAGGAAAAATGTCACGACCTGTAGCCAGGCCAGTACCCATAAAAGTTGATGGAAGAGCAAAAGTAGAAGAAACAAAACGCAAATTAGGAAATGAGAACGAGAAATTACAAATTCAGAACACTTCATACACGAAATTAATTGAGTTGGAAACAATATTCTGTAAATACTACCAATTGAAATACACATGAGCAAGATTTAACATAATTCAACTGGACAACAAATATTAACATTGTTAAGAATAGATACCTCAATTTTCTTACTTCCTAAAATTACATCAGACTTGATGAAATCATCAGCAGCAATAACTGTATGATCTCCTTCAGTGTTGGAAACTGCATAGCTTGTGTGATCTATGACTATAGCCGCTGGATCCTGTACCCATTGTAAATAACATACTCAAAAACATCAGTTCTTTAATCAAGCTCAAAATGCTGGAAGAAAAGCTATGACCTAGAGAAACACGTATGAATTCTAGGGAAGGATATGAATGTCATTAAACCTTGTAGAATACTATGAGATAAGAGAAGTAGAAAAACATATGTAAAGAACAGCTATTTCAACAAAAATGATTTTGCTAACCTCACAGTCATATCAGTGCAGTGTATGACAGTGGTCTGTGAGCATTATTGTGTACTTAATGACAGGAGCTAGCAATTGACAATATGCTCATTTTAGTGAAGTCATTCTTGCTGTCATTAAGGAAGCAGCAGAAAATACACCTCTAGAAAGATCAGAAGTTATTCATAAAGAGCTCACATCTAGCAACAGTTCATGACACGATATGATGATAATTCTGCAATTGCTAATAAAGCATTATAATTTCATCCAAACCATTCTGAATTAAAGCACTTTAGTGATTATGGCTGTTTCTGTTATTCCCAAATGATCAATTCTTCAAAGAAATGTCCTTTTTTTTCTTGATAGTAGAAGATTTAAAGAAGCAATGCATGCATACTGGACAGAAACCAACTTCAAGGAAATTCTGAATATTAAAAAGGAGACTGAAAAGAGATAATTGATATAGTAACCAGTGAAATGCTTCAATGCTTAAACCAACCTCATCAAAATCAACTCCGCACTCGACTGCGATTTGTCGGATCAAATCAGATGCATTGGTATCAGCTGCAATGATCAAATCATGACCGCTATCCACAAAATCAAGTATAGCAGCCAGGTCAATGGACCCTCCAAACCCTATATCACATGATAAAACAGAAATCATAAATAAATACAGTCAATCTGAATTCCCAAAACCATTTCAATTCACCAAAGTTTTCGTTTTCCACAACACAACATTTCGAAAAGAGAGAGACTTACGATCGACCGAAGGAGAAAAGAGAATCAAGGCGTCATAGCTATACAGGCCGTAACGCTGCAAGGAGATCTTGGGATCATCGGCGAGCTTGAAATCGAGCTCGAAGCCTCGAGATTGCAGGGACTTGAAGAACAAGGAGTGCGAGGATTTGAAGGCGAGGTCGTCGAGCAAGACGAGGATCCGGCGATCGGTTGGGTGGTCCGGCGAGAAAGAGTGGGTGAGAAATGGGAGGGTTAGGGTTAGGAAGGTGAGGACACTGAGGAGCTTCAGCATGGTTTCGGTTTGGGAGGGACTGAGGAGAAATGCGCCTGTGAGAAGTGCTGCTTCGGCTTTCTTTCCTTCAGATCGCAAAACTAGAGTGGACTCTGCACTGTGGAAGGGGTTGGCTGACTTTTCGTAATTTCTTCTCTTTTTCTTTTCCTTTTTTTCCTTATATTTGCCTTCTTTATTTTATATTTCTTTGAGACATATTTTCCCAAACGATAGTCGTGACTTAAGAATACAAGAAGTCATGAATCAAGAAATTTTTAAGGGTCATTCACTTATCATAAACGGAGGAAGTAAGGAATTGAGGGATTTAGAAATTGGAAAAGTAATGAATCGGTATGGTAAGAATCATTTCAATTAAGTTGTTTACTAACTATATGGAATTAGCAAAGAAATGGAGTTGAATTTCATTGTTATTGTTTACTAATTCTTATGAATCAAAACTTAAACTAATTTGATTATTAAAATGCCCTACACATATAAATATATATTTTTCACCTAAGTAACTTATAAAAAAGAAAATATACACAAGTTTATTTTATAACTAATGTATAATATAAGAAACTATATGGCGAGTGATGAAAAAACTAGTATATAATAATATACATAATATATTAGAAAAAAAAAATATATGGCATAGTGATAAGAATCATAACAAGACAAATAGAGGCTAGCAACCAACCAAGGTGGTTGGTGTGAGTGGTTCGGCACTCTCATTCCTTAAGAGAGGTCAGGGGTTCGATCCCTGCTCTCGTATGGAGTCACCACTTTGGCCAGCACTTTACTCCTTACGGGCCGACCCGGTGTGAACGGGGATTAGTCTGGGTTGTGGTTAAGGCTTAAAGGTGCCATCCATAGTTGGAGCCCATCCAGGACCACCTCGTGGTTCAGACCAAAAAAAAAAAAAAAAATAGAGGCTAGCAACCAAGGTGAAAAGATAAAAACTTTGCTTTTTCCAACAGTAATTAATAAATAGCCATTGAATTTTTTTTTTAGGCTTTAAGGTGTTTTGGAATTATTGTAAAGCGATAAGGGTATTTTTGGAAGGTAGTAAGTTGATTCGATTACTAGTTTTGAGGGGATGTGATTATGGATTTTGAGGTGTGACCCATGTATTTTTTCATTCATGATTGCAAGTAAAAGCAGAGGAAGTCAGAAATGGAAATCATTCATTTTCTTTCCATACCCATGTTACTGATACATAAACATGCCTTACATAGGGAATCAAGTAATGGGAATCCTATCAACTACTCCCCTAGTTGATCTCATTCCTTATTTTAAGGGTATTCGATTACGAATTTTATGACAAGACCCGCCCCGAAATTTCTCGAAATCTGGGACGAACCCCGCCTAATTACCGACATCGACCCGATGCGGGCCCACTTACTAAAGACTAAGACTTTCTACCAAAAATTTGACACAGTCTCCCCTGTAAATTGAACATTTCCAAATTTCAACCTGTTCAAAATTTACAGTTAATTACAACCAACTGGCAGCATGCTTACAAGCAATAAAATAATTTTACAAACAAGGCCTCCAGGCCTCACAAAATTTAAACCCTCAGCAGGCGATACAGAGCATATCTACGGAATTCAAAATACAACCGAAGTACCGTTTAACTGAAAGGAAAAAGTACCAAGAGTCTCTACAAAGACTCGAGTTCCAAGATGCACCCGGTCCGGCTCAACTGCAAAGCTCAGTCGCTACTGGCTGGGGGCGCAAAACAGAAAGTTGTGAGTGGACAAAAATCAGGTTCAGTTCAAGTGAAATCAAAGTAGTATAACCCCCACCTTTATTAAAACATGCAATGAAACCATAAGCATAACAAAACCATCAGAAACAGTATATAAACACATACTAAACCGGATCTCAAATCCGTAATCCGTGAATCATACTTCACGAAGCCCACCACTCAACTTAAGAGTTCCGAGAGGTTAGACTTATAAACGTTCTCAAAGGTACGACCGGTGAGGAAGTATCCTTACCGAGAAATAGAACAAAAGAACATTCATATATATATATATATATAAATATAATTATATACATATTAATTATATGATGTAACAAAATAATAATAATAATACTCATAAGAATAGTATATAGATATAACCAATATTTAATTGTACCGGGGAAACAATCCAACCGGGGGACCGTACAGCCGACACAGTCAAAGCTTGTACGCCTGAAATACCAGTCCTACGGGCGCAGACTACCCCAAATCCAGAGTCCACAGCAACATCCCCTCAAGGATGTTCTGAGTTCTAATCATTTCAAAAGTATTCAATATCCGTAACCAAATTCAGATCAGGGAGGTACATGAATTAGTGCCTAACGCACTCCAATTAACAGATCAAACATTACCTTTCCATAGCTCATATTAACCACCACGTACCCCATGCATAGACGCATGTAAATATAGCTTCTCAAAAGTCAAATATCATAATAAGTTTTATGAAAACCTCGAATTTTCATTCGAGCGTATATAAATCATTGATAAACATAATAAAACTATATGTCACATTGCCATGGATGAAATCATACTGAGTTTCAAAAGAAAAGTCCACTCACAAGTAGTCCCACACAACTTGACCCTTAGAAGGTCCCGCCTGCTGCATATGCTGGGTCGGCGTACTTGATTCAGAATACGAAAATACGATGAACGTCAAGCGCTTCAAAACAGAACTTTAAAATAAAACCCTAGCTTCCCGGGAGTTCCTATAGGTTTTACGAGGTCTAGAATACACGCCCTGTAAGTTTGGTCCGAAACGGACGGTTAGATCGCTCACGATCGCACGATTGGACGGTTACTGAAACCCTCACGCTAGGGTTGGCATTTCCGGAGTATCCGGGACTCTGTTTTACAATCCGTCGAATCCTACATGATCCTAAGGGTATCTAGAGGAACATACTTCAATTTGAAAACGATCCAACGGTCAGAACATATCGAACCCGAATAACGCACAATATGCAATAACCCGTTCGATAGTCAAACGACCTCGGAATCGAGATCTGCGAAATCCTACGCGCTCATGACAACTTAAAGATCACATTGGAACAGTTTGCAGCTCCACCACACTTGCCCACGCGTCACCACACGCGCTGGCAGCAAGCGGGTGTGCAGAGAAATTCCGGCGACGGAAAATCTCCAAATCACAAGTCACCCTCCCGGCTACAAGTCCTACTCAACTAGGGAAGCACTTCATTCAACTACGGGCAAGCCCAAAACCACCGGGAATTGGCCGGAATTTTGAATTGAAAACCGGCCAAAAACCTAATTCGAAAATAACTTCCAAAACCTCAAAATCGTTTCCATCCTAAGCAATAGGCAGCTAGAACAGATAAAAAGAAGGAGAAATCTCACCTTTCACACCGGAAAAAGGATGACTGAAACGGTGGTGCAACGATCGGAAAACCTCCGATTTGAACCAGTCGATACTGCCGACTATTCTCAAGTTTTCCGGCGACGAAAACTAGTGGGTCTTGACCAGGACGTCAAGACGAAGCCAACAAAACCGGTGCCGGCCCTTGCCGTGGCCTGAGCTAGGAGAATCAAAGAGAGAGAGAGAGAGAGTCGGGTCGAGGAGAGAGAAACCGAGAAAGGAGAGAGTGCGCGGGGAGAGAAAAAAGAAGGGGAAAAAAATAAAAATGAACTAAAAATTTGATTTTTTTTACAAATACCCTTTTCGAATTATTTACGGTTTTGCCACCGAAAGTAATTTGATCGCCAAAACTTCGTTATAACTCCGATTCAAACCTACCGCCTGTCCACGAATTCATTTCAGAACCACCTACGCAACCAAACCACTTGTGGTCCCAAAATCCTTCCGGACAAGAAAATGACCAACATATCCTACCCCAAGGGTAGTTTCATAATTTCACAGTTAATTTAGTTTTACCCTTTTAAGTTGGAAAATTAAATAGAGTCGGGGTGTTACAACCTACCCCCTTATAAAAATTTCGTTCCCGAAATTTGCATACCTGTTAATTGAAGAGATAAGGGTATTCAGCCCGCATCTGCGCCTCGGGTTCCCAAGTAGCCTCTTCAACAGTTTGACTTCTTCACAACACTTTCACTACATGAATGGATCTGGAGCGCAACCTTTGTTCCTTCCTATCCAAGATCTGTACAGGTTGCTCCTCGTACGTCAAATCTTCACTCAACTCTATGGGTTGGTGCTCTAAAACATGGGAAGGATCAGGCATGTATTTCCTTAGCATGGATACATGAAACACGTCATGAATCCAAGATAGTTCTGTAGGTAAGGCAAGTCTATAGGCAACTGGCCCAATGCGTTCGGTGATCTCATAAGGTCCGATATAACGAGGGCTTAACTTCCCGCGTTTACCGAACCTCATCACACCCTTCCAAGGAGATAGCTTTAAGAACACCCAATCCCCAACTGCAAACTCAAGATCCTTGGACCTGTTATTCGCATAACTCTTATGTCGGTCTTGTGCGGTTTTCAACTTCTCTCTAATCATTTTCACCTTCTCAGTTGTGACTCGAATACTATCTACCTTTTCCAACTTCCTTTCACCCACTTCGTTCCAACAAACAGGAGTTCTACACATCCTCCCATACAGAGCTTCATACGGAGCCATCTCAATGCTCGACTGATAACTATTGTTATAAGCAAACTCCACCAATGCAAGGTGAGTATCCCAACTGTCTTTCAGTTGTAAAACACAAGACCTCAACATATCTTCCAAGGTCTGAATGGTTCTTTCCGATTGTCCATCAGTCTGTGGGTGGAAAGCAGTACTAAAATGTAACTTAGTACCCATAACCTCATTTAAACACTTCCAGAACTGAGATGTGAACCTTGCATCCCTGTCCGATACAATAGACACAGGAGCTCCGTGCAACCTCACGATCTCATTCACAAAGAGTTTTGCTAGCCTCGACAAGGAATAGGTTTCTTTTATAGGTAGAAAATGGGCGGATTTGGTGAGTCTGTCAACTATCACCCAAATTCCGTCATGCCCTTTGGAAGTACGTGGAAGTTTGAAAACGAAGTCCATTGTGATAAACTCCCACTTCCATTCAGGAATCGGAAGTGGTTGCATGAATCCGGACGGTTTTTGCCGTTCCGCTTTCACTTGTTGACAAATCAGACACTTGCTCACATACTTAGCAATATCCCCCTTCATATGCGGCCACGAGTAGTACTCACGTAGAGTCCGATACATCTTAGTACTACCCGGAAC